TGGACGAGCACAATATGCAGTATCACCAAGCGCTCAACTGGTGACGTCTGAGTCTCAAGGTCGGTCAAAAATGGGGTGTCTACAATAGGGTCTTAACCAAGGAAAACATCGACAACCAAAAGTTCTGAGAAAGGAATAGTCTGGAGGAGTGTGAAACAAAACTTCAAAAGGAGTGAGAAAATTAAGTTTAGCAGTAGGTAGGCGATTAATGAGCACTACTACTGTGGCTAAAGCTTCAAACCAAAGATGCAAAGAAAGAGAGGCATGATGCATTATTGAGACTACCATTGCATTAATGCATCATGCCTCTCTTCCTTTGCATATTTGGTTTGAAGCTTTAGCCATAGCAGTAGTGCTCATTAATCGCCTACCTACTGCTAAACTTAATTTTCTCACTCCTTTTGAAGTTTTGTTTCACACTCCACCAGACTATTCCTTTCTCAGAACTTTTGGTTGTCGATGTTTTCCTTGGATAAGACCCTATACTCAGCACAAGCTTCAACCTAAGTCTATTCCTTGTGTTTTTATTGGTTATCATCAATCAGTCAAAGGTTATAGGTGCCTTGATCCTATTTCAGGTCGCATCTATCTCTCTAGACATGTCGTCTTTGATGAAACTTGCTTCCATTTTTCCTCTCCTTCTGCTGCTGTTCCAACCTCAGCTCCTTCTGTTGCTCAATTGCATTCTTTTTTCTGGTCTTCTCCTGTTTCTGTTGTGTCTCCCTCTGCAGTACCTGCTGTTCCAACTGTCTCTCTCCCATTTGCTACCCCAGCTTCCTCTGCTGCCCTAGCTTCATCTGTTGTGTCTGCACCTCCTGATTCTATCTTGCTTCAGTCTGCTACTGCTGCTAAAGGACCCCAAACATCGGAGTGAATAAAAGCTAAAGACTTATCAACAGTAGAATTTGACAAACTAAATGGTAATCTATGTGTCTTAGAAACACAACAATCAGTACACAAACCAAATGAAGTAGGTGAAGACAAATGAAAAGTGTTAACAATGTGCTGAAGCTTCTTAGATGAGGGATGACCAAGTCTGAGATGCCAATTGGGACTAGAACTGTCTGCTGTACCAGGGACAGAGACAGAATAACTTTGGTACTAAAACAGGACTGAGATGGAACAGCTGTAGAAGCCATGGAAGAATAGTGAGCATGAGCAGGTAATGGAGCATGATAAAGACCTTGAGAATGGTGACCTCTATATAGTATGTTCTTGGTAACCTTGTCCTGAACAAGAGAGCTGTGCGCATCAAAAGTAATAGAACAGTTATTATCAGAGGTTAATTTATGCACAGAAAGAAGGTTAGAGGAAATATGAGGGACATGAAGAATATTATGAAACCGTTGTGGAAGAGAAGAAGTAGGGAGGAGTCCATTACCAATGTATTGAATAGGAAGAGTAGAACCATCACCAATGGTAACTTGATCGTTGCCATGATAAGGTTCATAATTGGAGAGATTATTTAAGTCATTAGTGATATGACTAGTAGCTGCAGAATCCACATACCAGGTAGGAGATGAATTCGGAGAAGAAGATGGAACAGAGGCCACATAAGCTTTAGGTGTGGATGGCCTGGTAGAAGCCTGAAAACCTTGGTCCATTCGATGCCAACAATCTAAGGTAGCATGATTTGGTTTACCACAAATCTGACATATAGAACCAGAACTGATTGGAGAGTGTTGATACGTGGAAGGAGAATTGGAGAGGTACTGTCTTCCTCCTCTACGAACACCTCAAGAATATTGACCACCGTGGAACCCTTGGCCTCTAGCAGATCCACCTTGATTGGTGTAAGGTTTGGTGGTGGCAGCATAGGCAAAAGGCAGCTTAGAAGTATGAGACTGTTTAGTGGTATGTTCAATATGAATTTCTTTAGAACAAAGTAAGGAACACAATGTGTTAAGAGAAATAGAACCTGGTCTAGCACGAATAGTGGTCTTAAAGGCATTGTACTCATCTGGAAGGCCATTCAAGATGTATAAAACAATGTCTTCATCATCAACTGGTGCACAAGCCAAAGCAAGTTGATCTGCGATGGTCTTAAACTCAGTGAGATAGGCATCCATGTGTAAGCCTTTCTTGGTGAGATGATTCATCTTGTGCTTGAGTTGATGAATAGGCGACCGAGAAAGAGAAGTGAATCGAGATTGAAGAGCAATCCATACCTCACAGCTTGTTTTACAATGAAAGACTGAAGTGAAAATGACTGGAGACAAAATAGCTGTGATGCAACTGAGGAGATGAGCATCTATACACATCCATTTTTCATACTCAGGATTTGAGACCTCTTGATTTGCAGAATCAACTATCCTAGATGGAGGACAAACCTGTGATCCATCCACAAAACCAATGAGTTTTGTTGCACGCAATATGTTCTGCACTCGATTCTTCCAAACTATATAGTTTGTAGAATCTAATTTCACAGTCATGAAGGAACTGAGATTGGAGATGAGCAAAGAAAGATTAGAAGGAATTGATGATGATGATGATAGATTGGCCATGAAAGAAGTGTGAGCTTTAAACATCGTTTGAAGATATTTAGAAGATCTTTGAAGATATAAGGATCAGTACTCGTTAGAGTTTATTGCTCTGATACCATAAATAAGAACTTGATTCATTTTATTCAATGAATTCATCTACAGATTACACTGTATTTATAAAGATAAAAGTCTAACTAACCAACTAACTGACTTAACTACAGTTACACTTTAACTAGAGTTCCAACAACTCATCTAACTGTATAACTGTCTAACTGCTCTTAATAGAGGAAGCCATGTGCTGTGGCTTGAGCTGTGATTCAGCTGTGGTGTCTGACTTGAGCTTGTGATGATTGAGCTTGAGCTTGGTTATGCTTAACACTATGATGGGAAATGAACATGACATGCCTGAAATTGCAAGTAAAAAATGGGGTCAAGTTTTTCTCCAGTCTGAGATCAGATTGGAACGTACTGTTAAGCTTATGGGGTCTATCATGAGACCTGTTTCGATAATCAGAATATAATCAACATGAGAGTTTGAGATAAAACTCCAATTAATATATACTAAACTGCTTGAATAAGTATCAAAACTCAAAATTCCATGGTGATGTAGTAGTAAGTACCTTGGTTAGGAATTTTCTTGTTGAAGGCTTGAAAGGGTAATCAATGGGAAAATGGATGGAAAGGTGAAACAGAACACCTTCCAAAGGGGTATCCACAGGGCCAACGATGATGCCTTGCCACTGAAACATGTTGTCATCACTTACAAGGCCAAAACTGATGTGTGTTGAGGGGTTTTTATTGATGTCTCTGAGCTCCCTTTCAATATGAAAAATCTTGAAATCCCCTAGATGTTGATTTGTGATTATGTCTTAATTTTAAGCAGTATATAACAATCTCAATCAAACAATCAAGACAAATCGACACAACAATTTTATGTGGAAAAATCACAATTGGACACCTCCAATTGTGATAAAAAAAATCACGGGCAACAGCCACAAAACAATCCACTAAGAAGATATAAAGGAATTACACATGTATACTCTCAATTACCTAGCGAATCTATGCCTGAATTGAACCAACCTCTATGTGCCTCTTCTAACCCCGTCTTCACCTTGGAATTGTCTTGACGATGAACCACTCCGGAATCCACCAAAGCTTCAGGCTCGAATTCTTCAGAATCCACCGAAGAACAACTCTCTCTTTTGTGTAGAACAAACAAATAATCCTTTGATGTATACTCTTTAAACCATGAGTTGAATACTCAATCAAAATATCAAAGAAAACTAGCAAAATATCCCCAGATATAAACCCTAGAACCCAAGCAGAAGATCTGGAGAAGTAATCCTAAAATCTGACAGAAACCCGTACTTATAGAAATCTGGGACTGCGAAGCTCGCTTGAGTGAAGACTCTCTCGCTCGAGCGAGGAACCAAAAACGCGCGTTTTCTATAAGTGGCTTCGCTCGAGCCGCGCACCCTTTGCTTGAGCGTACATTCATCTCTTTCAGGTTTTTTGCCAGACGCAGCCTTCGCTCGAGCGAGCACTCCTTCGCTCGAGCGAGCAAGGGTGGACATGCAATTTCGAATGCAATTTTGCATTTTGGTTCGGGGGCGCTGCCCCTCGACCTAGCTCGATCCCCGTCATAATCAGCGAAGTGACAATCTTGAAAGAATTAACATCACAAACTTCTCTGCAAGGCACAATTCGGGTTGGATTCGCATGTAAACACTCATAGTCTCACTGAAATAAAAAGTGCGAAAATAAATACAAGTTAAAGGAGTTTTGTCAAGCGGGGTTGCCAAGAATAAAAACCTAACAAAGTATTTTCCTTGCACAGCTCTGCATAGTCTCTGTTTCCATGTTTTCCCAATTGGGGTGTGTTTGTGACCTAAAATCTTGTAGCTACAGTTGGGTTTGTTGCAGTAGAAGTTGATGATCTTGAAGATGAGCATATAGAGATAAGAAAGAAAGAATCATCATTACATGAAAATTTGGAGAGAGAGAGAGAGAGAGAGAGGGGACTTGAGTCAAGTCTTCTGTAAAAATGACGCATAAGTTGATTTTAGTGAGTCTTTTTTGCTTGTCAACAACCAAGGTGTATAAACAAATAAAGAAATAAATAAGGGTAAATTACACTGACACTTAATATTTGATTCAATTATATTTCATCTTTGATATTTTAAAAATTATATTTTTATTTTTATGGTTAATAGTTTTGTTTCATAAATCTCCTATTTATATAAAAAGTAACAACTCTTAGGAGAAAAACATAATAAATTACATTAAAAAAAAAAGTGAATTAAAAGGAAGAAAAAAATAGAAAAAATAAAGCAAAGTAAGAAAATAGAAAGTACATGAGTCCAATATTTTCATTCCATCTAAATAATTACAATAACAGGAGGTTAGTATAATTTCCCAATTGTCAATGAACACTTGTAAAATGTTCAATTTTCTATTACACATAACGTTAACTAGGCTATTTTGTGCATCTCTCTATGCAAGCATTAATTACAAACAAATGCTACAAATGTCACAATCCAAGTGCATGGTGAATGGATTTCCACTCCCGGGCATTTTGGATTTGAAGAATCCTTACATTTCCATGGCCATCCGAGAAGTTGGCATAAGATAACTTTGGTTTTGCAGGTATTATTGAACTTGTTATATTTCTATGGAGTGTGTGGTCGATTAAAGGAATGCCTGCTTCATCGCTACTTCAGTAAGGTAATTCATATCACCTTAATTTGTGGCTTGCTTTCTGATTTGGTGAACTTAATAATAATCCTGGAATTCCTACCAGGAGCTTAGGTCTAGCACCAATGGTGCAGAATCAGATGTAATACAAGCTTGTCGAAGGGTAAGCTAAAATAAGCTGTAACCTAATATGATTTCTTATTGTTTTCAGTCTGAAAGAGTATCTAATGGCTTTAGTTTCTAGGTCGTAAAACGACTTAAGTGAAATCATATTTTCAGAAGTTGCACAGAAGGGGTATTTTCTTCTTACCATTTTCCTGCTTCCATTTGTTTGACGAGGGAGGGATGAGAGTCCATTTGATTGATGTGACCATTCAAATTGTAATATTTTGCCACTCTAAAGGTAGGTTTTTTAGTTACCTTGATCTATATTTGGTGCATGAACTAGTTGGATTTGCTTGGCGCAGCGATAAGGTTGCTCCACATGTGACTTGGGTGTCACGGGTTTCAAACGCGGAAACAACCTCTCTATGCGCAGGGTAAGGCTGCGTACATCAGACTCTTCCCCAAACCCTGTCCACTCTTCCCTAAACCTTGTAATGACAGGAGCCTTGTGCACTGGGCTTCCCCTCTTGTGTATTTATTTATTTTTAACCCAGTTGAATTTGTTGAAGGATGATACCTGCTTGGTTTGGTATTCATAGCACATTCAAATGTTATATATATTTGCATGATCCATCTTTTATTTTACATCTAAAAACAGGCAACCTTTTAATTCTTATCTATTACATCCTTCTTGATGTTGAGGTGCTTACAAACTGAGACAGACTTTCCTCATTTTTTCCTGTGTACAGTTACTAGACGAAAGGCAAAGTTTGAATGTCATGCGCTTTCTTCAAGCAATGAATGAGTAACTTCTTGCACCTATACTATATTCGCATTTCTTCAGTTTATCATATTGTTCTTTGCAATGTTTGTGCATAAAACAATTCTGCCCTAGTTTTTTCCTTTCTTTTGGAACACATTTTGTTCTCCTATCCTACTTGGAAAGAATTGACTGTCTCGTGGAACTACTCATTTTTCTTATATATTATTTAGTACCATGTTTGTTTGACATAATATGCTTATAGTCTGATCAATTTGTTGACAAACCCATCCATGGTGAGTGATTGATCAAGTCTAAAAATTATACACAAATATTCTGATATAATCTTTTTCTTAGTGATTGATCAAGTCTAACAAACTATACACCAATATTCAGATACAATCTTTTGCCTGTAATATTTATACTATATTATATGAATTTAGCAGAAAGAGCTGAAAGTGAGAGTTTTATGAATTTTCTGTTGGCTAGTAATTGCTCTTTTCCTTTCTTTTGCACACACTATTTACCCCTTTTTTTGTTTTTGTTTTACCAATAAACCCCTATGAGTTGTTTACAAAGTTTATATGCAGGAGGCATGACCTTACAGAGGCCTTAAAGAAGCTACCATGGAAAACACTCATTTTTGTGGGTGATTGCAGTCCATTCCATACTGAATCAGTGTATATGAATGCTATGATGGAAAAAAAGATATGCCCTCTTGTTGAGGTTGGTCTTTCTCCTCACTTTTGATTTTCTCCCAATTAGTGTGATACATTTTTTTTGTGTGAATTTTACCTTGCTCATGCTCATCACAGTAGCAACTAAACTTACCTAGCACGCTCATGTTTTTTTTTTCCCTCGTTAAGTACCCAAATATCACATAAAATATATATTGTCAACTATCTAAATGAGCTTGTTAGGTAAGTTTAGTTGCTACTTACCTACAAAGTTGAAACTCCAAGTGAATGTAATTCAAGAAACGGTTAGCAACTTCAGTACAACATTACTAGTTACCTATTTTGCCTTGGGTCATTAGGAATAAGTTTGTATCTTTCCACTGGTTAGTTTCTTATTATGAATAATGATAATACATTGTGGGATGATTTTATTTATTTATATTTTATTTTTTGTCTATAACAGGTTCAGTCATGTGGCTCGCTAGTGACAGAAGAACACCCATATGCAATGTTGATTCCCATTGAAGTCTTTTTAATGGGGTTTGGCTTAGAAATTTGATAGTTTAGAAATGCCTCTCTCCCTGCTTCACCTCATTTAATCAGTGTTGCATATTTTGGCAAGCCACAGAAGCAGAACCGCAGCTTTGCACGTAAATATGCAAACATGTTAAGTATATAATGTCTTCATGGTAGCACATTCTTTGGTTGGTTTTTGTGTTAGTAGGGAGAGGATTTTTGTGTTCAATTAGGTTTTCAGTGAATGAATTCGTTCTAATCAAGTGTAGATAAAGCAGATGAGAGATATTGTAGTTTGAGGGGTAGAGATATTCTTTTTGAGCATGGCTTAAATGTTTGCACACATTGATGATGACTACTTTGTAAGTTTAACTGTTCGTTTATAATAAAGTCCTTTTATAGAAATGAGGGGAATTCTTATATTTTGATGTGGTTCGGTAACATCCCCTCCTTACTCCACAGCTAAAATAATAATAATTGCACCTTCAGCAAATAATAATAATTAGGTGTGTGCTATAAAGTTAGCAGAAATGTTTATTTATTTATTTATTTACTCGAAAAAAATTGTCCAAAATGTCATGTCTCAAAATTTAAGTAATTAAATAAGAGAAAAAACTTTTCTGTGTCTCTTCTCTCTTACGCCTCACGCCTCCGCTCTCCTCTCTGTTACTGGAGCAGCACCATGGTTAGACGAGCACACCACAAGGGTTATTGAAGCACCACCGTCGCTTTGTCTTGGGTAGAGTACAACGGGAAGCAATTATTTGATCCAATAAGGAGTGGTACAAGGCGCACAAAAAGTATGGAGGATGGAGGATGGAATCCGGTGATAAGAAGAAGACGAGTTGCAAACCAATACAGTAGATCGGTGGAGTATGGAGTGTATACTCTCTTTGTGGATGACATCCCAAGCTCAATGACTCCAGAGGGTTTGTACATGTTGTTTAACAACTTTGGTGTTGTAAAGGACGTTTTTATCCCGTCCAAAAGACGGAAATCGACGGGGTCGAGGTTTGGCTTTGTGAGGTATGACTGTAAGGTAGCTGTCGAAATGGCGGTGATGAAGGGTGATGGCCTATGGTGCGATAACAAGGCCCTGAAAGTAAAGAAAGCAGAGTTCAAAAAAGGGGAGTTCAAGCAGCATACAATGACCAACAGAGGAGATGGTCCGATGACGCAGCGTCCACAGAAGAGTTTTGGGCATAGAAGGATGGATGTTTCAGGTCGAAGATCATTTGCAGAAGTCGTCCAGAGTGGTGGCAGAAATGAGAAGATGAAGATGGTTGTACAGGCATTCGAAGTCGGAAATGGATGGCTTTATGACAGTGTAATTGTAAGGTTGAAATCATTTTTTTTCCTTCGATGAATTTAAAAAGGAGGTGGAAAAAAGAGGTATGGAGGAAGTAAGAGTCAGAGAAGGAGGAGGAAGGCTAGCACTGCTAACTTTTAAGTCCCAGCAACATAAAAAGGAGGCTACAACCAAGCTACAAGAGTGGATGATAGAATGGTGTGATTCTACTACAGACTGGGACAAAGGCAAGTACATAGAACAGGATAGGTGTGTGTGGCTAACATGTACAGGTGTACCATCGAATTTGTGGAGTGTCAGTACATTTACAGACATTGGCAAGCTGTGGGGGGAAGTTGTTCAATTTGATGATGCCATTACTACGCAAAGTTCATTTAAGTGGGGGAAGGTGCGGGTGATTACATCCACAATGGAGTTTATCAATACGGTGATCCATGTTGAATGTAATGGAAACATATTCCCAGTTAGAGTGTGTGAGGAGATCCCAACAGCAGGTGAGCCGTGTCATTGCTGTAGTTCTTACTTGGAAAATGAGGTCACTGGTCCTATGGCTCAGGATGAAGTGGATCAATTGTCGAAAAATGGTGAGGCAGACAAGGAAGAACATGAAGATGAACACAGAAGGAAGGAGGAACAGGCTATGGTGGACTGCGATGCAGGGGAAAGAGTTGAAGGTAATGAGTGCCTATCTGTCTCAGCCGTAAAGGAAACAGAGGACGGCATGGGAAATCAAAAAGTCAGAGGAGGTAGTCTGGAGGATAGGTCGGTGAGCACGGCAACTCCAAGAAATGAAATTCAAATTATGGAAGGCCATGTTTGTACCCCTGGGTTTATCAGAAGCCTCAGTGGGTCAGAGGGCTTAAGGCCTAAACTAAATATAGAGGTGGTGCTGGATGGGCTGCAGGTTGGGGTCCAGAAGAATAGGCCCACCATGGATTATTCAAATCTTAGTGATCGTGTAGCCCAAACTCAGCTTAGATCCAGTGATCAACAAGGAGATAAGCTAAAAGCATCAGTCATAGCTAACCCACCAAGGAAAGGTAAGCCCACCCAAGCAATGGTAGATAGATGTAATCTGGAGGGTGCTAATCTGCGTAATAGGTCAAAACCGAATAAAAAACAGCTCAAGCACAAAGAAGCGATGCGCAGCAAATGTTTCAAGAAAGGAGCCATCTTCAGAGCAGCTGCAGCGGCTATATCAATGTCAGTAGAGCAAAGTCTCAACACCAGGAGGAGAAACAAATTATTAAGTGAAGCCCAAGCTACCATGGAAGTTGGGAAAATTCTGGGATTGGAGTTTGAAGGAAAGGAGTCTGAGGTAATGGGCAAGTTGGCTGAACTTGAAGCGAAGGACAAGGAGAGAGTGAAAGGGAAAGCTGTAGTGCCGTAAGTCTGGAAGGACTAAAAGGAGGAGCTTTACAGGAGATGTGTAATTTCTATATGATTTTATTATCATGGAACATTAGGGGTTTGCGAAGACCCGAGAAGAGATCAAAAATAAAGAGTATAGTTCGGGTGAGGAAGGTAGACGTCCTGCTGATTCAGGAAACTAAGAGAAGCTCAGTAGATGAAAATTTTGCGAAGTCCTTATGGCCGTGGGAGGAGCTGGAGTACATGGAGGTGGGTGCAGATGGAAGTGCAGGTGGGTTGCTATGCTTGTGGAATCCACAGATTTTTGAGCTCAAGGAGTGCTGTAGTGCTAGGAGCTTCGTGATCTTAGCAGGTATGGCTCATCATACTTTTAATTGTACTATTATTAATGTGTATGCACCTAATGATGTAATCAAAAGAAGGAAACTTTGGGAGGCTCTAGCAACACTGAATCAGTCCTACCTAAGCCCTTGGTGCATAGGAGGTGACTTCAATGAAATCAGATTTAGGAGTGAAAGGAAAGGGTGCTCTAGAAAGGAAAGAGGGATGAAGGATTTTAATGATTTTATTGATAAACTGGAGCTGGTAGATATGCAAATGCTAGGTAGGCAGTATACTTGGTGTAATGCGATGGATGGGAATAGATGGAGTAGAATAGATAGATTCTTAATCGACCCCAGGTGGCTGGAAGAGTTCAAGTTTAAACAATGGGGACTGCCTAGGTGTATCTCTGATCACTGTCCCATACTTCTTATGGAGGATGAGAGGGATTGGGGCCCAAAACCGTTTCGATTTATAAATGCATGGTGTTTGCATCCCAAATTCAAAGTAGAAGTGAAGAACTGTTGGGAAGGACACCAGGTAAGTGGTTGGGCTAGTTTCAGATTTTTGAAAAAGCTGGGTCATCTGAAAGTCCATCTGAAGAGGTGGAATAGTGAAGTCTTTGGCAACATTGAGGAGAATCTGAAAAAAGCTGAGGAGGAACTGCACGAGTGGGATCTGATAGCTGAAGAAAGGAATTTACTGGATGCTGAGTTAAGAAGAAGGGTAGAGGTTAGGAAATTAGTTTGGGATCTTGGCAAGAAGAAAGATTGGCTGTGGCTTCAAAAATCTAGAAGGGTATGGGCTGAAAACGGGGATAGAAATACCAGATTTTTCCATTTAATGGCAACCAAAAGGCAGAGGAAAAACTTGCTAGACTCAGTCAATATGAATGGGGTGATTCAGGATGAGCCTGGGATGATTAAACGGGCAGTGGTAAGGCATTTCAAGCTCCTTTTCAATGAGGAATGGAAGAATAGACCAAAGCTGTCAGGTTTTTTTGCCTCAATCAATTCAACTGACTCAGCTGAGCTATTAGAGGCAGAATTTTTGGAAGATGAAATCTGGAAAGCAATAAAAGATTGTGATGGGAATAAAGCGCCGGGGCCAGATGGCTTTAATCTACAATGTATTCAAAAGTGTTGGAACATCATGAAAGGTGAGTTTGTGCAATTGATGAAGGAGTTTCATGCTAACGGGAAGCTAGCCAAAGGAATAAATAGCTCATTCATTACTTTGATTCCTAAGAAGGAAAACCCTGTGGGGTTGGGAGATTATAGGCCCATAAGTTTGATTAGCTCCATATACAAAATTGTCGCTAAAATCTTGTCAAAAAGGCTTAGGAGAGTGATGCCCAACATTATTAGTGAAGTGCAAACTGCCTTTTTGAGAGGTAGACATATTATAGATGGGGTTCTGATTGCCAATGAAGTGGTGGATTGGTGGAAAAGGTCGAAGAAGAAAGGGCTCATCCTAAAGTTGGATTTTGAAAAAGCATATGACTCCGTAAATTGGGAGTTCTTGTACTCGATGATGAAAAATTTCGGGTTTGGAGAGAAATGGGTGGGGTGGATAAAGACCTGCATATCCACAGCTCGAATTTCAGTGCTAGTTAATGGGTCACCTACTTCTGAGTTTTCTCCCATGAAAGGTCTTAGGCAAGGAGATCCGCTTTCTCCGTTCCTTTTTAATATTGTAGCGGAGGGTCTGAACATTCTCTTGGAAAGAGCTAAGGAAGTGGGATTGATAAGAGGAGTGTCTGCAGGGCCAACTGAGTTGAAAATTACGCATCTGCAGTTTGCCGATGACACCATCATTTTTTGTGAAGCTGAGTGGGAGGAAGTTGTAGCCGTGAAAAGAATTCTAAGGTGCTTTGAGGTGATGTCTGGGCTCAAAATAAATTTCCACAAAAGCAAGGTGTGTGGGGTAGGCGTTCAGGATGATATTGTCCAGGTCTTCGCAAAGAAACTAAATTGCCTAAGTCAAAAGTTGCCAATGAGTTATCTGGGGTTGCCATTAGGAACAAACCCAAGGAGAAAGGCTGCTTGGAAACCTGTAATAGACAAGTTTAAGAGCAAGTTAGCTTCTTGGAAGAGGAGGTATCTATCGTTCGCTGGGAGATTAACGTTGATCAAGTCCGTTTTGTCAAGCTTGCCAGTTTATTTCTTATCCATCTTCAAGTTGCCGGTGGGCATTGCAAAAGTACTCCACAAAATTCAAGCTAACTTTCTTTGGGGAGGGTCGGAAACTAGGAGGAAACTGCACCTAATTAGCTGGAAAGAGATATGTGTAAACAAAAACAAGGGTGGGCTAGGGGTAAGAAACCTAAGCCAGGTTAATGAGTGTCTGCTAGTTAAATGGTGGTGGAGGTATGGAAATGAGGAGGCTGCCTTGTGGAAAAAAGTGATTTGTAGTAAGTATGGTGGTGTGGGTGGCAGGTGGTGCCCCTTATTTATTAGTTCAGTGGGACTGTCGTATACGTGGAGAGGCATAATATCAGTGGCTGAAGTTAACATTGCTCTGCGGGAATTTTTTTGGCATAATTTTAGGCTAGTTGTTGGAAACGGCAGAAGGATACATTTTTGGTTTGATAAGTGGTGCCACAATCAAAATCTGAGTGTGTCTTTTCCCAGATTATTCTCATTATCAGTTGAAAAAGATGGAAAGCTGGTCGATTTTGTTCATAGAAGAGTGTCAGATTCAGATTGGAACCTGGTCTTCAGACGTCCCCTCCTAGCATGGGAAGAGGAGGAAGTGCAGAAACTAAATGATTTCCTGCAAAATGCGCCTAGGATCAATGAAGAGATGGTAGATTCTTGTTCTTGGGTAGCTCACCCGTCTGAAGAGTTCACCGTGGCATCAGTGTGGAAGTGGATGGAAGCAAGTCAAGGGATAGATATTGCAGTACCTAGGTGTATTTGGATCAATTTAGCCCCTCCCAAAGCTCAATTCTTGAGTTGGTTAGCGTGGAGAGGAAGGGTAAAGTGTTATGAATTTTTGCAAAAAGTTGGAGTGTTGAGCCCAAATGCTTCTTCTCTTTGTGTGTTTTGTAAATCTGAGGTGGAGACTGTTAATCATGTGTTTATTCACTGCCATTTCACTTGGAAATTGTGGGCCAACTTGGTGAACTGGTGGAATTACAAATGGGTTAGCCCTGGATCAGTGGAGGGTTTATTGCTGTCATGGCCAGAGATAAAAATGAAGAAAAAGATGCTAACAGTCTGGAAAACACTGTCGGTAGCAGTAATGTGGTCAGTGTGGAGAAGCAGAAACGACTGTGTATTTAACAAGGTGCAACCGGATTGGACTGCTTTGGCAGAGCTAATAAAGGTGAGAGTAGCGTTGTGGACTTCCTCAGCTTTAAA